ACCATGCTCTGGCCGGCACATCTGCGAAGGCGAGTTTTTGGACATTGTCACGACACACAACATGTTGTCATCACAAAGTCACAGTGCACACAATTTTATTTGTCAAGCATGAAAAGTATCCAATCTTATAAAAATTTGCAAAAGATTACATCACAATCATCATTACATAGTAGCAAGTACTTTACTAGACTCACTTTGGCTATTTTTTTTAGCCCCACACATATTTTGAATATGCTAAATCATATACAATATTAAGAGTAAGATATTATCTTGAAAGATAAAAATACTACTTTACAATGGATCTGATCACTCAAATAAAAATTTCATTCAATATTTGACGGGTATGCATTAATCAACATATATTTTTTCAATCCCACATGAAGATTAGATTAATATGAATTATAAGCTTCTATGTTTAATTACATCTTAAAAATTATAGCTTGTTAAGAAAAATCTCAATCAATACTTCAACTAAGTCTTCAAGAATTTCAAAATTGAGTTTTCAAATTGTTATTTGGAATTTCAAAAAGGGGTGAATCAAGCAAGAATAATTCTAATTGGAGTCCATTGGAGAAGAAGTAGGAAGTACTCGGATAATTAGAAACTTAGTATCACTTCTACTATCATATGGTTGGAGTTTAGTAATTTTTAACTTTAAATGTTTATTTATTTGAGTTGAACATTTTACTAAAGAATTAAGACATATTCCGATTATACTAGACCGTGGGAAGGCTTAAGAGGTGAGGGCTTATGTCGTAGTAATACTAATAACCTCATAATTTATGACTAAAGATGACGTATATTAACCAAGTAGAGCCTCAAATCTAGTCCAACATGCAAAATGCAAATAAATGGACTGATAACTCAATCCTACAAGGGATATTACAATCTTACATATAAAAAACTTCTAGCTAAATCCACCTAACACATCAACATTATGAGATCCAATTACATGAAATGCAATATATGTTGGATTTTTTTTATTGGAAAATGAAACATTTCTTGCAACCTAATTGTGAAAAAGAAATAGGTCAGGCAATATTGGTTTGTAGTGCATATAGCTAATCTAAAGTATTTTAAATTTTAATGTTTAGAAATTTCATTAATTTGTTATCCTTGAGATAAAGAATTAATTTGATTTATTATATTGTTGTGTGTCATGTATGTTTATGCAAAGGATTATGTAATACTTAATGATGTATGCATGAAAGATCTTAAGACCAAGTCAAGTATGAAAGACTGACTTCATCCAATAAGGTGCTAATCCTCACTAGTTAGATCCCTTCTATTAGTGCAATAGATGAAGGTTTGAAGCCAATGAATAATCTATATGAGTTATGATGCATGTGCTTTTCATGATAACACAAGTTAAGTTTGGGTTGATTTATGTTGAACTGGGTTAAGCTGGGTCGATTCGGGTTGACTCGGGTTAAGTTTAGTTGACCCGGGTTGAATTGGGTTTAATTTGGGTTGACACGGTTTAAGTTGGGTTGACCCAGATTGACTTGGGTTTGATTGGGTTAACTTTTGTTAAGCTCGATTGATTCATATTGACTTGAGTTTGATTAGGGCTGACATGAGTTAAGCTAGGTGACCCGGATTGACTTGAGTTTGATTAGAGTTGACCCGAGTTAAGCTGGGTTGACCCGAATTGACTAGGGCTTGATTTGGGTCTAACAAAGTTAGGTTAGATCTTTGTTGGGCTAGGTCTGAGTTAGGTCAAACTCAGGTTAGGTTTAGGGTTTAGGTTAAGTTAAACCTAGGTTTGGTCAGGTCTAAGTTGGGTCAAGTCTGAGTTGGGTCACACCTAAATTAGGTTTAGAGTTTGGGTTAGGTTAGACTTGATTTGGGTTAGGCCTAATCTAGGTTTGGTCGGACTGGGATTAGGTTAGACGCGGGTTAGGTTAGGCCTAAGCTGGGTCTGGTCTGAGTTGGGTTAGACATGGGTTTGGTTTAGGGTTTAGGTTAGGTTAGACTTTCGTTGGGTCAGGTCTGGGTTAGGTTTAAGCCAAAATGGGTTGGGATTAGGTTGGGTTTGGTTTAAGCCTAAATAGGTTAGGATTATGTTGGGTTTGAGGATATGGCTAGGTTAAACTAGATTTAAGTGGGTTAGGGTTATGCTAGGTTCGGGTCGACCTTAGTCAAGCCCAAACCCAAGTCTAATCCAAGGCTAATTAGTTGACTAACTAGCCTAACTTAGGAACATAAAATAAATACTTTGATTAAACATAAGGAGGCGAGAGGCTTACCAAAGGAGGTTGACCATAGGGGATGACCCTTGTCGGAGTTCTCCTTTTCTCTGTGCTCGTGTCGAAGTCTTTGAGTCATTGTCTACTAAAGAGTGACAAGTGTTGAAATGTCTGAGAGTGTCTCAGAGAGTGTGAAGACCGCCTATTTATAGGCTGGGAAGGCGGTGACAGGACGTTTGGGCATTGGACTGTTGTAGGAGCCACAAATCGCCACTAGAAAAATGATGCAATGATTTGTGCTCTGATCTGAGGACGAAAGCCACAGATCAGTGACATGTCACTGAGAGTGACCACACAAAATGATCACTCCTGAAAATACCTGGGTGTGGTCGTGCTTAGGGCTGGCGTGACCACATTGAGAAGGTTTCAGGTGCGGTCATGCTCCGGGTAGGTATAACCACACTGAGCTACTTCTAGGCATGATTACGACCAGGCTTGGCGTGACCACACCTGGCTAAAAAAGGGCAATGCAATGTTTTGGCTCATGTGGTTGCACCAAATTAAGGGGTGATGTTATTGCATGTTCTATGTGACAAAAAAAAAGGTCAACAATCCTTCCGGAGCACCTCCACCTCGACATTTGGTTGTGAGTAGCCGGTCTCTTATTTTGGGTCCTCTTCAGGGTTTATTGGGATGCAGGCTGCCTCCTCTTTACTGAGCGCCAGAACAAAGGTCCCCTCGGTTACACTAGAAGCGTGAACTCGGGAGGTACCTTGTAGCGGAGAATCAATGCTCAGGACTGCATCTCCTGCATCAAAAAATGAGCCTCAGTAAGAAAAAAAACTTACAATCACAATAGATCATCATCACATACCTAGGGCTTTATATAACTCGAATCATCAGATGAGGGACAATTCTCACCGGGCATTGGCGAGGAGCTCGCAACCACTGGACCTTGATCTAGTTTCAGAATCTCAGGTCCCTGAGCTTGCAATGCATCCGCCATTTAGTTCCTAAAACCTAACTTTAGAACTGGAGGCCTCTCAGTCTTGGGCGGTGAGGTTTTGGCCATTTCTCGCGTGGCAGTAGATTTTCCTCCTTCCTTTTGTCGGAGAATGGTAGCAAGTCAAAGGATGCAACCTCAACTTCAGCTTCTATCTATTTCTTCTTGTAAGTTGCTTAATCGCCTCAAACTCAGGCCGACTTTCATCCGCTGGTTGCTTTGTTATTCCCAATTTTTTCATACTCTCGGGCCGACTTCTTTTGCCCTCCTTCTTTATTTCAAGCTTCTCACCTTAAGGACGACTGCCTCTTTTCTTTCTCTTCTTCCTCTCAAGCTCCTTCCGGTGGGCACGCGACATAAAGTCACCAAAGGCTTTCGCCAGTATTTCCTAGGTAATATAGTTAGCTGAGGTCACTTTCCATGGAGATTCGCTATAAACCAGCCAACTGAACAATGCACTTTCAATTGATGAGGATAGCGAAAGTGTCAATCGTGCATTATTTATAGAATAAAATGGGCACAAAATTCTAGAGAGTTCAATTATTTTATTATTGAATATGAAAATATATGAATATATTATTGCATTAAATTCTCTTGTTCTTATTACAACACAACTTTCAAGAAGAAAGAGAATCGAGGAACTAATTGTTACGTCCAAAGTGCATGAGCACAAATCTTGAGAAAGTTCAACGGTTTACAAGGCAAAATATGATCTGGCATGACCCATCAGAAGAAGCACTGACAAAAGACCAAAAGATCCAATTGATCTGCTACATCCCCCTCATAATAAGATTTAGGTCAACTGAACGAAGGTCGTTTGATTCAAAGACCGAGACTCATCTAACCGAGAGAAGGAACCAATCCAACTCACATCCAAGTATCTCCAAATGCCCTGTAGAAGCCTCCAAGACTCTTCAGAAGGCCCATGAATCTCATCACCAAAATTCATCGAGCCTTCTAGACAGATCTCTTGCCAAGAGGGTAGGCTATCTATCATATTACGGTGATTCACTATCTGCCTGACCACCTAGTTCTAAGCAGACGACATGAGTTTCCCATCCAAGGCTGAACAATCTTCCATCAGACTGAGACAATTGTTTGACTGACTCAAGTCGACAAAATGAAGTCGGGACATTTGAGCTATGTCTAGAAGACTAAAGAATTGGCAGGGCCGATAAATAGCCCTAACTTGAGAGAGTTGGTTAAATGCATCTGATCGACCTAATGATTTCATGTTCTCATAGATTGAAAGATAAGGTGGCTGAACTAAAGGTTATTTTTTTTTTAACTTTCTCTCTCATTGCCTAAGTGATCTTTATAGAATCAGATTCTTATTCTACACTCTTT